GCGCCTAGACTAAGGCGAGCCGACGCCCTTCGGAATGGCCGAACGCATCGACGTCACCAGCCTTACGCAGGACAGCCTGGACGAGCTGCTGCAACAACTGCACGAAAGCTCCGTGCCGGCCGGCGAGTCAACTCTACCGTCGCCGATGCCGCTGAAGCCGCAGCGTCCCTCGTGTTTTGACCCAAGTCAGCGGGGTGGTCCTACCGTTCAGGCGTGGCTCTTCACGTTGAATGTTTTCTTCGACGCGAACTACGTCTCGGAGGATACGACGAAGATTTCTTACGCCGTGCCATAGACTTGTGGCGTGTCATCGTCACGAAGCCGGCCGACTACGCGACTCTACCGACACGGGAAGGACAAACCGGACCCTGGGCGCCGTCGTATTTCGTGGAGGTGCCCCAGTATCGCACGTGGGACGCGTGGTGCGCAGGTCTGTGCGCTCGTTTCGAGCCAATTGCGGCTTCGATTGCGGCGCGACAGAGGCTCCGCACTTGGCGCCAACTCGGTTCCGTCCAAGACTACACGAGCGGGTTTCTGGCGCTATGCGAGCAAGTGGGATATATGCACGAGAGCGACGCATTGACCGCTACGTCGGCGGCCTGAAGCAGGACATTGCTCAGGAGATCCAGCTTAGCGGCGTCACCGATTTTCAGGAGATTCTCGCCATGGCGGAGAAGCTCGGTTTCTTCCGCCGACCGAGACCGGGGTCCTACGGAAGCAGCGATTGGGGACATCGGCCTCGTGGGACGAACGAGGGCGCTACGATACGTGCCGTCGCCGCAAATGCCGCTGCCGCACCGTTTAAAGGGCGCTGCTTTGCGTGCAATCAACCGGGACACCGTAAGAGCGAATGCCCGGAAAACGCTAAGGGAAAGGGGGAAGCTGAGCAGCAGAAACAGACCAAGCAGCAGGGAAACGCTGGGAGTCAGTAGCAGACGGGCCCTCTACTGACAGGTCACGCCGCTCGCCCGACCCAACCGACCCTCACCGAGTGATTGTGCCGGTTCACGCAATCGACCACACCCGGCCGAATAAGGAGGGTACTACGGTAGACAGCCCCATACTGCTTAGTGGGAAAATCGGGACGGACTTAGTTAAAATCTTCGTAGACGGAGGGGCCAGCCACAACCTTATCAACACAGCCACAGCACGGAAACTGCTACGCCACTGGATAGATGTTTATCTGAGATCGACGCAAGACTGGTCAACGGCACGCCACTGGCGATACGGGAACGTGTGGACTGAGTTCGGATTCGATACGGGGGTAACTTCACGTTTAACCAGGAAATGCTCGCAACGACCCTCGACGGAACCGACATTTTACTCGGGCGTGATTAGCTGCGACGACACAATCCGCGAATTGACTGGACGACGGGTGACTGCACTGTGCGAGTGAACGGTAACAACATCGCCTTACCTCGCTGGGGCTCGCCTGAGTCTTCGTCGGTGCGTGTCAACGCAATCACGATGAAATGCGCCGTAGCGGCAGGAGCTGACATGTATGCGGTTGACATTCGGGAAGCCGAGGCAGCAGACAAAGGAGGGGATTTACCGGGTGATCTGGTAGCACTGCTGAAGCAGTACAGTGACATTTTCCCGGACGACTTACCGACGGGACTGCCACCTCAGCGACCGCACGACCAAAAGATAGAACTAGAACCGGGGGCACAGCCAACAGTACAGCGACAGTTCCGACTGACCCAACCCGAACTGGACGAACTGCGGAAGCAGCTAGATTACCTACTCGAGAAGGAGTTTATTCGTCCTAGTTCGTCACCTTTCGCAGCACCGATACTGTTCACGCCGAAAAAGGACGAGGGTTTTCGCATGTGCATAGACTATAGAGCACTGAACAGGGTTACCATAAAATCCCGTTACCCTATCCCGCGAGCCGATGAACTGATCGACCAACTGCGCACAGCCCGGGTTTTTTCTAAAATCGACCTTCGGGGAGGTTACCACCAGATTCGCGTCAACCCACCCGACTGCCCTAAGACAGCCTTCCGAACACGCTACGGATCCTTCGAATACACCGTCATGCCTTTCGGACTGACCAACGCCCCCGCCACCTTTCAAATGACCATGAACGAAGCCTTCCGCCCGCTTTTAGATAAGTGCGTCATCGTGTAACTTGACGACATACTGATCTACAGCCCCGACAGAGCACAGCACTTACAGGACATCGAAGCAGTCTTTAAGATACTGAGTGAGAACCGCCTACTGACAAAAGCGTCTAAGTGTGAGTTTTTACAGGACCGACTGGAGTTTTCGGGACACATTATTTTAGCTGCAGAAGTGGAAATAGACCCGAAAAAGATCGCGACGATTCAAGCATGCCACGCGCCGACCAACTTGACCGAGTTGCAGAGTTTTCTGGGGTTCGTAAACTACGTGCGCCGGTTCGTCCCCGACATGGAGAAGCTGACTGCCCCGTTGACCGACCTGCTGAGGAAGGGGGTTGAGTACACGTGGGGGGAGAAAGAGCAAGCTGCCTTCTCGGCCCTCAAAAATATTTTGTGCTCGCCGCCCGTGCTTCACATCGCAGATCCGCACCGTCCGTTCGAACTCGTCACCGACGCTAGTGACATCGCTGTGGGAACAGTACTGTTGCAGAACTTCGGGAACGGCCTTCAGCCAATCGCGTACGAGTCCCGCAAGCTTCACCCACCCGAACGCAACTACCCGATACACGACCGCGAGATGTTGGCGATCGTGCACGCGTTCAAGGTGTGGCGATGTTACCTCACGGGAGCAGACGTGACAGTACGGACAGACCACCGATCCCTACAGTACCTTCGCGCCCAACCGAATCTCAACCCACGACAGATCAGCTGGTTGGACTATCGGGAGTCCAACTTCCACTACACGGTCACGTACAACAAAGGCGCATCCAACATCACCGACGCACTCACACGCCCCACCGCCCAACTCCACGCCATCCTACTCGCCCAAACCAACCCACTGTTAACAGGCCTATTCACCCACGGATACAGTACCGACCCATTTTTACGACCGGAAATTCACAGCAAGTGGCAGAGGCCAAAGGAGTCTATTACGTAAAAACAGGCGCCAACCGCATCTGGGTACCCGCGTACTCACTACTGAGGGAACTGTTACTGCAGGAGGCACACGACGGGCCATTCCAAATCAGCCACATGATTACCCCAGTGACAGCCCACCTACTGTTGCCGACGGACTGGTACATCAGCCCTTCATTCCACGTCAGCCTGCTTTGCCCATACATCCCAACCACCAGCCAACTGCCTCGTCACCGCCCGCGATCCATGACTCGCCCTGCATCGGAGCCGATCATCGAGCCCGGAAAAATCCTGAGCCATCGGATTCGACACCCCACGGGAATCAAGAGGATTGAATTCCTCGTTCGCTGAAAGGATCGCACGCCAACTGAAGATAGCTGGGTGCCCGTGGCCAACATCGAAAACCACCCTGCCCTGCAAGTGTACCTGAGGAGCCGGGGTTTCCACGATATACACGCACTCGCGTAGCGGAGGGGGCTTCTTGAGGGGGGGGGGGGGGTAGTGTAAAGAATTTTCTCGATATTCCGTGATCTCCCGCCTAGAAGACCCGGGGGTCTTATCCTAAATGTGCTCGAACTGGGTTGTGGGGTCTTATGTAATGACATGAAGTGCATAAGACCCCTGGACATCTATTAATTACTGAAAAATGGATTTTGTAGTGCAGTGTTGAAGAAATTCGAAATTTCTGTACTGAATTTCGGATTCCTTCACAGCGCGGAAATTCATTCTCAGATTCTCGCACTCGAGTCTCCCAGATTCCTTTCTGCACGTTCAGAAATGCCTAATAATGACAGGCACGTCAGCATTTGTTGCCTGAAGGGCGGCAAAAACGCGTGATTGATGTAGCATCTTGACTCCCTTGACCACAAATTCGCCTGACAAAGTGAATTTGGTGGTTTTTTGTGTGACTCGCTAACCAGCTCATGAACTAACACCACTCATTATAGCCTAAGGGGGGGTCTTATAATGATTTGGGTCAAAAGACGGGTCCTCTCCAGGACTGACTTAATAAAAGACCCCTGGTCCGGATAGAAGACCCACGGGGCTTTTATGCGGGGGGGTCTTGTAACCGGGAGATCACGGTTCCTTTAGCGCGCCCTGCAACATCGCGTACAGCAGCAGCCGTTGTTCGCCCGTTACTGCTAACGGGGCTTCGCCGACTTCGCGCGCACTGTTTTACCAAACCTCGCACTGCTGGCCCGGCCGTGTCGGCCTACGCTTCGGGACTAGCCCGAGCCTCGCTGCCAGCGTAGCACTAGCTAGCTCGCACGCACCGCGTTACCGTTTGCATGTTTCGCGTATAAATGTTCGCTCATGCCTTCGCTCACATTTTGTACTCGTTTGACACCTTAGTGCAATTCTCGCTACTTCGATCCATTGCACCCGTAACACAAGGAAAGTGTCGAGACCTAAATAGGGGAAATGCTTGTTAGGCGGGGAGGTCGGGCGAGGATGGCTCGGAGATGGTTACGATTGGAGCGGAGGCCGACTCGGGAGTGGTTCGGCCGACGAAATAGGCCGAACAGGTTCGTCGCATGACCTTCGGGATGTCCTCGCTAATAACTGATTACAGTAAGGAATTCTAATTCCTTACAAGTACAGCACTCGTAACACATTGAGAATGTAGCGAGGGCATGAAGTAACCCATTGTGAATTTGTCAGGCCGCAATTCGCGGTGCCAGCGAATGCCGCTGCGTCAACATGGGCACATAGTTCCCCCAGCTTCGTTTCCCTCCATAGATTTATCCGCGCTGTGTTGTTCAAGTCCAACGGCTCTTTTTGCACCTTTTCTGTTCGTGCTGCACTCACATCGCAACCTCACCTAGTCGGGAAATGTAGGTCTTCAGTTCAAAGTATCCAGCATTCTCGCGCCTCGTTGCTCTCGGGCGTTAGTCCCTTGTAACCGAACGTTCCCTTCGCAGCGAAAAAACGACAGGAATCGGACTGCGTAGACTAGCCTGGATGTCCTTGTTACTAGGTAAGAAGGCTTTGCATGAAGGCATATGCTAGTTGCATCACCTTCTAAGGCAATATTGTGACAAACTCTTAACAGAGGTATAGGCTCGCGACGTACGAGTCAGCGAAGAGGTTTTCAAGATGCCGCATTGTATATATGCATTCGCGACAAAACTGTAACTCACTTTACCCGCAACTTCCTCGAGTATTGCCTGTTCCTTCGCGCACGGCGCTCAAGTTTCGATTAAAAATTTGCAGCGGACCTAATCCAAGGCGACTTGTGAAGAATAAGGAAACCATAATCGACGGCGAATTCCTCGGGGTATAGGCGTTCGAGGTCAGATCTGGAATCGCAGTTGATGATCCAATGCGACTTGTGACGCATCTCATCCGTAGGAAACCCTAACCGACACGCACTTCCTTGAGTATTACCTACTTCTACTGCTCCTGCTCATGCTCCTCCTGCTGCCCCTGCTGCTGCTCCTGCTACTGCTGCTGCTGCCGCTCCTCCTCCCACCCTTCAGAGCTAACAATTTAGCGTCTGCTGCTGTGCGTCCTTCTGCTGCTGCTCCAATGACAGCTCCTGCTGCTGCTCCCGCTCGCCGTATTGACTACAGCAAATGGGACCACTTGCATTCCAGCAGCGATGAGGAGGAGGAGGAGCAGGAGAAGCGGAAGAAACAAGGAGAAGAAGGAGGTAGAAGCAATGGTGGCGGGAAGGGCAAGGCCCAGATTCTTGCTGCTGCCAAGGCCGGCGCGTTCGTTCCTCAGCTTGTTGGACCGCCATGGGGTGGGCTGACGCTTGAAAAGGTTCGAGGGCCCAAGCCACCATCCCAAGAGAAGCCGTGCAGAGTGGGAGATGTGGAAGAACGGAAAGGAGAGGGGCCAGAGAGGCCAGGAGCTGAGGAAGACTCGGAGAAGCTGCAGCTGCTGTGTCGGGACGACATGGTTCACTACCTGGATGTGAGGGACGCGTGGGGCGTGGCAGTGTGCGAGTGCTGCTTCCACCGCGCTGTCAGCCAGCGCACCCAGCACGCCCTCGTCATGACCACCCTCAAAGCCTTCCGCTCCCACGTGCAGTCGCCACAGCCTGCGTCCATCCCGCTCGCTCCCAACCGCCAGGCCCGGGGTACTTACGAATATTCATTGAAGGTTCCCCTGCCGGAGGCTGTGGCGCAGCTCAATGTGGCAGCTGACGTGCACGTTGAAATGAAGGGCGAGATGGCCGCTCTCATCTGTGCGGAGGCCATGCTGCTCGAGTGGATGGCTGAGCCGCGTGTGGGCGTGCTGATGGACCTGGGCACGATCAGATCCCGCCTGCCTGCCATCATGGCTGCTACACATTGCCCAGCTGCTAAAGCTTCGCCTGCCGCTGCTCCTCCTGACGCCCTGCCGGGTTGTGCGCCATAGGTGCGCGCAACCCTGGGGCAGCAGGCAGAGATAGGTGCGCGCCATAGGTGCGCGCAACCCTGGGGCGCAGAGGCGTGGGAGCAACAGCACCAGCAGCACCCCCAGCAGTGGCAGCGGCATTTGCCAGCACTCTTGTGAACACAAACCCTGTAGTTGCAGTGTTCACGTATCGTGCTGCCTGCATTCTGCAGTGGGCGCGCACCTATGGCGCACAACTCGTCCCCGCTACTCAGTGCTGCAAGGACAGCCCCCACGGGAAGGTCCGCCCCATCCGCCACCCGCTTCGGGACCTTCCAAGCCTGCTGGTCAGGCTCGGTGCCATCCCCAAACCGCTGGACCAAGGTAGGTTCCCCTTGGAGTGGGAAGAGTGGCCTCGTGGAGATGAAGCTGCCGCAACGCTTCCTCATGACCCCCGTGCAAGATTCTTCCACCTGGGAATTGTGGAGGAAGCGAATGGGACAGCAAGGGAGAAGGGCGGACAGGGGTCAAATGCAGGAGGCAAGATTGGGACCGCGAGGGGGAAAGGAAGAGACAAAGGGAAGGGCAAGCGGGAGGGAAGGAGCAGAGTGCATGGGGACGACGAGAGGAGTGAAGACGAGAGGCTGCTACAGCAGGTGCTCACGGAACTGCTGCCGCTCGTGCAGAGGAAGTTCCCCATCGTGCGCTGCACTGCCGATGCGGAGTTCATAGTGGAGTTTGCCGGGCATGTGGTGCAGCCTCCTGCATGCGCTCAGTGCAAGCAGTGCCTTGCTGTCTACAGCCGTCGCATGCCCTTCCTCATGGTCGTCACCAACTACGCCTACCGACCTGCCACCACCCTTTTCAACCGCTTTGTATCCATCTTCCCGCCACTCTCTCCCGAATTTGAGCGGCTCACTGTTAGTTTGGGTCTGCCGGCTTTCCCTGCCAGCATGCCGGGCTTTCTAAGGTCGCCTGTCGTGCAGGCACGGGCAGAGAAGTTTCCTGTGTACTTCCTGTTGACTGTGGCTCTGAACTGTCCTCTCCCCATCCTGGGAATCACGGACCTCATGTTCCTACACAGGCTGCGAGACGGAGAGGAAGAGGACGGCAGGTTGTGGGAGGAGGTGCAGATGTGGTGCCTGGCGATGCTGTTTGCGTGGACGGGCGGCATGAAGCTCGAGGCCGAGGCGCTGACTGACACGTGCAAGGGCAGACAGGGGCTGTCCTCCGCGCATGGACCGGAGGAACGATTTTTTGCAACTGAGAAGGGGCAAGAGTTGTTCAGAAGGGCTACCATACCCAGGTTCTGTGAAGACATGCAGGATGAGAATGGGCCTTCTGAAGGTGCCCGTAGCAGCAACAATCGCAGCGGCAGCTGCGGGAGCAACAGCTCAAGTGACAGACGAGGCAGAAAGAGCGGGATCCAGGGGAGTGGGGGGGTTGATGGGATGGGCGATGAGGGGGGGGAACCGGCTTACCTGAAGGCATGGCCAGGAGGAGTCAATTTGGTGGCATGTCTGCGAGAGATGCTGCTGGGGGTGCCGTGCTACCGCCCTGCCCCCCCTGCTGCCCCTTCCACCCCTGCTGGTGGGAAGCATGTGTGCGGTGCTGTGGGGTGTGGAAGGGTGGAGGGTGGCGGTGTGAAGCTGAGGAGCTGCAGTGGGTGTGGCAAGGTGGCGTATTGCAGCAGAGAGTGCCAAAAGGCGCACTGGCCCTCCCACAAGCTCACATGCCCCGGCAGGACAAGCGGCAGGGATGGTGGCAGCAGCAGCGGAAAGGTGAGGGCAAGGGGATTGGCAAGGCGAGTGGCAAGGGGAGTGGTACAGTGAGTGCTGTCCTTGTCAAGCAGGTGTGCTGTGTATTGCTGGAGAGAAGACCAATGACCGTTGCTTCATACGTTCGTTGCCTTCTTGGCGTCTGAGCATGCATCTAAATGCATTTCTTCCTCTGCTCCAACTCTTCCCAATTGGTCACCTCTGTTGGAAACAATTAATTCTAAGCGCCTCTGTCGTGTCGAAACACCAAGTCAGAAGCGAAGCGAAGTATATCGAAGCACCGGCGAGTCAACCCTCGGAGGTTGAGCAGTTGCTAGAGGTTACGCGAAAGTCAAAGGTCAGCGACCTTTGACCTGACAAGTACAGCACGACAGTAAGGACACACAACTGACTCGTTACAGAGCAGTTGCCCGAGTCGTCACTGTATCGAACCGCAACAACAACAGTAAAGTAGTTGCAACCGTATCTCTTCGTATTCCTTGTACTCTTATATAATCTTGTATCTCTTTGCTTTAATCAATCAACTTTGCCCTCACATACTAGCGCAAGGTGGTTCAAACACATCTCATTAAGCTTCCGCTAATTACAACAAGTCCTACTCAGAGTTCAGCCCTGCAAAGATCCTAAGGGCTTTCTCAGCCCAACATGGTATGAGAGCTAACAGGGGGAACTCAACTACTATCAAGTCATCTACAACGTCAGAAGACATGGCAACACAAAAGGAAAGGAGCTCCTCTAACGGCTCCCCGGGTACTACTCCTACTCCTCCTCCTGCCTCTGGCCTACAGACAGAGGAGGGTACGGCAACAAGACCAAGAGCAACATCCACCGAGACTCCCGCGAATCAACCTGCAGGCTTCGACCAGAGCATGATGGAGAAGTTTTTCTCCTTCATGTCCTTCTATGAGCAACACCAGCAATCGGTACCTGCGCAATCACACAACAGCAACAACAACAACGACGTGACTCCAATGAGCCTTGATGGTTCATCCTACGCACGTGGAAATCAACAGCAACAACCTACCTTTGCTCCATACGAGCCCCAGCGCGGTTCCGTCAGCTTTATGCCACAACCGCAGCCTGCACCTGGACAAGAGAAGACACTGGACGCATTACAAGTTCAGTCGCAGTTCGCGCACGTTCTGAAGCTGCAGACATCAAGACCTTTCGACGGAAAGGACTTTTTTACCTGGTCATTCGAGTTCGAGCTGATGATGGAAGGCGCGCAAATCCTCGGCTTCTTCGACGGGTCCCTGCCATACCCAACAAACGGCACACAGTACGAGAAGCAGCAGTACACCTATCAGTCAATGATGGCGTACACAATCCTACTGAGGAATATCACCCCGACTCAGCAACAGAATATAGGGTCTTACCGGGGATACGGCAACTCCGCTGAGCTCGCATACAGCCACTTGAAAAGCCTGTACCAAGCAACAGACAGCGTAAGTCAGAGTCGACTAATGGCACAACTGACAACAGTCGAAATGAAACCAGGGGAAAAGGGGATGGCGTATATCAGTCGCTGTCGCGAATTGCGCGACAAACTCCTTCGATGCGGAGGGTCGATATCTGAAGACGCCTTCGTGACAGTCATCATTGGCGGCCTCGGTCCTCAATGGCGCGCCACAAAAGCCATTCTCCGAGCTCACGGAAGAATCTCCGAAGCAGCACTTTGCTCTGAAATTCATGCCGAGCAACAAGACATGGACCTGCAAGAAGAAAGGCACAAGAGGAAGACATCAGCACCGGAATTCGCTTTCCACACTCAGCGACGCTACAACAACAACAACAACAACCGACAACAACCAAGGCCCGTACCTCCGTTCTGCCACATCTGCAAAACGTCAGGACACTCACGCACACACTGCCCGAATCGACAACAGCCAACTCCACCACAACGACAGCTTCGACCCTCAAGCAGCCAAGTGGCATCGACGCAGGCGAACCCCACGAGCCAGTCGCAGACCTCAACAACACAATCTGCACAAGGAGCAAGAAACATCGTCAGCTGCATGGTAAAACTGACCGACTCCTGCATCACCGAGTCACCGCCACATTACTCACCGGAAGAGCAACTCGACAACAATACACCTCGCCGCGAGTCACTTCAACCGAACCCAACGTACGCAGCCATCGCCCAAAGCGAGCCATCCGGGAAGGATACCTGGTTCTTAGACAGTTGTTGCGGATAGCACATGTGTTCCTCAGGACGCTTCGTGCAGCGATAATACCAACTCCAACGCGAAGTAGTCATCACCGTCGCCAATAACCAAAACCTGCGCACACGACGACAAGGAGTGGTTCAACTTCAGTCACGGGAAACAAACGTCATACTGCAGATGTCGAAGGTCTTAATAGCAGAAGGACTCGGCTACAACTTACTGAGCATCAGTCAGTTAATGGCGAAGGGGATACACCTCGAAGCAGATAGCACCACCCAAGAATTCAAGCTGTACCACGGGAGAGGAGGTCTCTACATCGACAAAGCACTCTTGAAGAATAACGTCTCCGTCCTTGACTTCGTTCCAGATCTCGGCACCGCTGACAGCGACGGGATCGTCTCCTTCACCCCTTGGACACATCCACCGGATCTTGATTCAGACTTCAGTCCTGGAGGCTTCTGGTACTCGGAAACTATTCCTGAAGTAGAAAGAACAAGAGCGTTAGCAACAATTCAACAATCGGCAGCAGCAGAGACAACATTGGCAGCAGAAACAACATCGGCAGCAGCAGAAATAACAACGGCAGCAGCAGAGACAACGGTAACAGCAGTGGCAACATCAACACCAATCGCTGGTCCTTCAACGGCACCAATCCTCGTCGATGACACACCACCGACACCCACGCAGCAGCTAAACCCGGCACCACGAGAAGTTCATCGAAGTGCCAACCTCACCGCCAACTTCTACTCCAACTCCGACATGTACCGACGTTCACCCGGACACCGCGCCACCGAAGACATCTGGCACGCACGAATGGGACATCCAAGCAACACGGTGTTAAACAACACAATCAGAGCAGGAGTGCTCGATAAAGACTCACCGCTCCTAACCGACGGAAGTGAACTTCGACAAGCTCGCGGAACATGCTTTACCTGCCCCGAAGCTGACTTACCACATTTGCCGTTCACTTCTCACCACAATCCCAGCGCACCAGCTTACGCACCACTCGAGAAAGTGTACAGCGACATCCTGTACAACCGCGAACCTGGACAAGGAGCATACAGTTACACCATCACGTTCATCGATGCCGCTACGCGTTACGTTTGGCACCTCAACCTACCGAGCAAGGACATGGCCTTCGAGGCCTTCGTCGCTTGGCTCCCAGTAGCAGAACGAGAATCGCGCGTGAAGCTAAAAAGCTTCCAATCAGACGGAGGAGGAGAATACACCTCACAGAGGTTCAAGCAGTACTTGGCAGAAAGAGGAATCAAGAGGCTCATCTCCCTTCCCTACGCTCACCAGCAGCAAGGCGTAGCAGAAAGGATGAACAGGACTCTCCAAAACACCATGCGCAAACTGCTACGAGGCGTGCGACTGCCCAACCACCAGTGGCCCGAAGCAGTGGACCACGCTGTCATGCTGCACAACTTGCTCTCGTCATCATCGCTCCCGAACAACGCATCACCGCATCTGCTGTGGACAGGAAAACAGGGCAGCACAAAAATGTTAAGAGTTTTCGGCTGCATGGTACAGTACCGACCCCCATCTGCACGAGCCGGCCGATTTTCCCAACGCGCGCAGTGGGGACTACATCTGGGCATCGAAAAGAATTACAATGCATGGAAAATTTTCGACGTTCACTCCAAGGAAACAGTAGCAGCACGTGATGTCCTTTTCTACGAACGACTCACACTTCCGACATACCTTGCCAACCTGGAAGAAGATCGAGACCCCACAGGTGGCTTCCGTGGTGACCGGGCCTTCGCCTCGGCAGCAGACGAAGCTGACTGGGACGAGCAGAACGTGGATGCAGCTTCGGAGGAAGCAGGACCCCTCCCCTACTGCTCCGTCGACGTCCCAATGGATGACGAAAATCCTCGCGACAGCATCAACGCCGAAGTGTTTTACCACTTCGCCAATAACGGTTACGTTACACCTGCAGAAGTCAACACCAACGAAGCAGAACGCATAGGGCCCAATTTCATACCTGACCCAGAAGCAGGTGACGAAGCAGCTTATCCCGCGGACACAACACTTCCCCGCTACACACAGAGTGGCCTTCAGATACTCGGCCTCGTCACCGCGGTCCACGGCGTCGCGCTTCCTAAGGAGCCTGCCATGTCAGAGGTCCACTGGTGATCCCCGATTGATCCTAGGGAAGGGATACATGCATGTTGGCCTGGGGGGTTATGGGCGCACTGACCCGCTACTTAACAAGCCCTTTTATCCCAATGGTCTAGTGGTTGGGATTCTGACATGGTATCAGAACGAAGGTCTCGGGTTCGAATCCTGGTGTGTGCACTTCGGGCATCCCAATGCGGGGGGGTGTCAGAGGTCCACTGGTGATCCCCGATTGATCCTAGGGAAGGGATACAAGCATGTTGGCCTGGGGGGTTATGGGCGCACTGACCCGCTACTTAACAAGCCCTTTTATCCCAATGGTCTAGTGGTTGGGATTCTGACATGCCACGGTTCAGCAGGCTCTGGGGGGGGGAGCATAGGGAAAAATGGCGCGAAGCCATGGACAGAGAACTGAAAGCACTGGAGGAACGCAATACCTGGAAGGTCGTTCCCATCGGCGTGGCACGAAACAAGACGATTCTTACCGGGAAATGGGTCTTCCGTGTGAAGACGAAAGCGGACGGCACCATCGACAAGTTTAAGGCACGCTGGGTCGTACGCGGCTTCGACCAGGAACACGGACGTGACTTCACCGAAACATTTGCTCCGGTCAGTCGACACACCTCGCTACCGATTCTCCTCGCGATCGCCGCTATGAAGAAGAAGAAGCTGCGGCAAATCGACGTCGCCAACGCATTCCTCTACGCACCTGTCGACGCAGAGATTTTCGTCGAGCTACCACACGGTTCCAGTACGGACTCCAACCAT